TAGTGCAAAAACATGCCCCCATCAACAGTATACCAGTTAATTCTCTAAAGTTCTTAAAGGCAAGACATCTGTTATTATTGAAGCCTTATTAGTCTCCACAGCACGGAGAATGTTAAGGCTAAAAGGGTGACATGTGTGTATGGCCACGGCGTTTGCGGCTTCAGTTGTTGAAGCGTTTAATGGCGATTAAAATTTCAGCTTTGCTGTAGACATTTTGGATTAATTGGTTAAGCAAAGAATAGTTTATCGAATTTCTCTTTAGTTAAATTGTGCGACATTTACCTTTTTAATTGAATGTCCGTTTTGTTTAGTACCAGTATCAACAATTTAATGTTTTTAATTGAAATCAAACCTGCAAAATTATAATTTGCGTAATTACTGGTGGCAGGACCTTTTGTGAATCAGGTGGGCGGTGAGCTCGTCTACCCGTCTAAACAATAAAAAAAACTTCAATTAAGTTTACATCATTCAAACATCTGAAGAAATGTTTTTGTTACGATATTTTTCCAAATTTATATCTTAAATGGTAAAGTTGCGAAAATGTCGCTTAAACCAAATAGCCTTTCACCCCTCGATATGTAATTCAAAGTTTTAAAAACACTCACCTATATAGTTAAGATAATCAAACGAGAACATTCTTCTCGCGAAATTTCAAAAAAGAAAAAAGCCAACAAACCTTAACGTACTTGAAGTGAATGCAATAAAACCGAACGCGGAGGTTGCGTACCGGTGGATCGGCTCCGAAGCCCTACGGAGATAAGAATGCGGCCGGCAGCTGTCTCGCGGTATGCGCACCTGCCGCCTTGCGTCTCTGGGCCCGTCTCTCTAGTGCACTGTGCCTGCGAGATGTATTCAGCCCATATGCCATTATAAGGTTTGGCATCGCGCGCGGTTAGCAACGTGTCTGACGCTCATTCAGGAGTTTGCAAGTTCGATACTGTATATAGTTCATTGTCTTTAATCAAACCACATACCCGATCCTGTAGATCGAATGGTAACACGTCATTACGGATCCTCCCGAGCCATTAACGGTGCTTTTAGGCACCACAAGCACCGGTCGCCGTCCTCGTCGAACCCGTCACTTGCGACGAAGGGCTCGACGTGCGAATTAACCCATAGACACAGTCCACTGAGTTTCTCGCCGGATCTTCTCAGTGGGGCGCAATTCCCATCCGGTAGTAGATTCAGCAAAGCACCACTCTTGCTAGGGTCAGTGTTAGCAACACTCCGGTTTGAGTCCCGTGAGCTCACCTACTAGTTAAGGTTACGCTGAAATAGCCTCTCAAGGCTATCAGCTAGGTAGCTAGGTAGGGAAAAAGTCTTTAATGTCGAGTGTGCGAACAAGCTCTCAGCTCGCCTGTTGTTAAAGTCGTTTCGACGGTGACGGAAATACCACCATTCCCATTTGAGTTTGGTTTTGTCGATTGTATTGTATAACAGCTGTTCCCAGACTTTGTAGAGAATATTGAGTTACCGTCTTACTTATTTGTGTTTTTTTATTAGTTTCGTACAACTGGATAAAATCGGCAAACATTGAAGTTATTTAGAGAAAAATTATACATTATAGAATTCACCTTTTGGGTGTGAAAACAACTTGCTTAAGGGCGGTTTCTTCTGTGAAGGAAATATGGGTTCCTAGGGTTCCCTCCCTAGTTCCCTCTCGCTATGGCTAGTGTTAGAAATTGTCTCAAGTTGAGCCCGTGAGCTCACCTAACTGTCCGCGTGAGGTTGGAATAGCCTCTTAGGCTACCAACGATTAGGTAGGGAGAAGAGAAAGATGTATTGCGTAAATAAACTGTTTAACATAAACTGTCTTCATTCTTACTCACTCAGCAGCACACCTGTCAGCTTAGATACTAGGACTAAAAAGACTTTGTAATCGCTAAATTTTTAGATAGGATTTTAGTTTAAGTTCATGTTCCTATTCAAAGAACAACAGAAATGGGTTTTTTTTCTGAATGCACACGTCGAATTTTTTTTCTTCTCTTTCATTATCCCAAGATGTTCTTGTGCCATCCAAGAATCGTAGTTTCGGGCAGGTGTCGAACACACGTGTCCCGCGCATCTGTCGTCGTGCGCCAATCACGCCGCCCCACCGACTTATAAATACCGTGCTCATCCCGGCATTACTTTATTTCGTGTCTTGTTCACGACGCGGCAGCTTTGCATACGACATTTTTTTTTGTTGTGTTTTGTAGTGAATTCGGCGTTCGTAATTGCGTGTTTTTGATTTTGTGTCTCGGTTCACAGTGAGTCTCTTGTCGAAATGATCATCTGCCTGTCAGGATTTGTGATTGCCGGGTTAGTAGTATATTTGTGTTTGGTGATAGGCTGTCTAAATATTTTCGTTTGCGGGAATTTGTGAGTAAAAAGTATATACTGAAGTGAAATTTCTTTAGAATCGTTGTGATTTCAAATTATCATGGAGGCTATAAATATGAAAGATGCTAAAAAGAAGCAGTTTCGCTTTTTTTTTGTTCTTCGCCATGGGGTAATATCAATTCACACAAAAATATTTTGGGATATTAATTAAAAAAGTTCCTCGACCGCTGATCTATCCCAATTGATATAAAGTCGATTTTGAATGTAGAAAATATCACGGATACAGACATGTAAATGTGCAAAGTAATGTGCAAATCATTAGAAGTAAGATCATCTCTTTGTGGCTCTAGTATTACCAATTTGGGCGACCGTGAACACTTTCCATCAAATAAAACTCATATTGTTAAACAAGCTTATAATTGTATGTTTAAATTGTGCAATAAAAACACTATAATATGAATAAATTTAATGTTTTATCTACTATCATATGGTAATAGTAAATTTTCAACTAAATTATCTATGTAAATGTTATGTTGTTTGAATAACAAATTTATCCAATTACTATTTAATTACATGTACATACATATTTGAATCACCTAACCTAAACATTAGCCCGCTGTTTCTCGCCGGATCTTCTCAGCGGGTCGCGATTCCGATCCGGTAGTAGATTCATTCGTGAAGCAGCTACTCTCGAGTTGTTAGGTCTCTCCTTTGGAGGCGCTGCTCTGGTAGCTGTTAGCAAATCCCACCCCTCCTGGCTGAGCACTTTCTCGCCCACCTATCCTGGTAAAACTGGAAAGGCCTCCGGGCCACCAGTCATTTCTCAAACATAAAACATATTCGAATCGCGAGTTCAGAGTTTTAATTTTGTATCTACTTTTTTTTTATTGCTTAGATGGGTGGACGAGCTCACAGCCCACCTGGTGTTAAGTGGTTACTGGAGCCCATAGACATCTATAACGTAAATGCGCCACCCACCTTGAGATATAAGTTCTAAGAGAGATCTACATAATTATGTGCACGCATTTAAGATCCGTTTACTTATTTTTATACTAGTTGTAGGCCGCTACTTGGCCCGCGTGGTCAAAGAAAAGATGTTAGTGTAATCCCCCGTATCAATGACGTTTTGTCGGGATATAAGATTGTCTATGTCGTTCACTTTACTTAATATCGTATTTAAAAAAATTATAATATAAATCCGTTGTTTTGTTTCAACGTGAGGGAATGACAAACAATCCCACTTTCAAATTCAAATATTAGTATGGATTAAATATGTGTGTAGCCTTCTGCAGTGTCGTCCGGCCATGACACCTGTGGTTACGGGACGTACACTCTGATAACTTCAATATACTAAATCGAGAGTTTGAAGCCTTTATGATTTCCAGGAGAGCTATTTAAAGTTTAAAATATGGAAAATATAATTATAACAAAAAAAACTTTTTTGTTATTTGAACGGAATAAACTTAATTGAAGTCCAATTAAAAACATCGAACTGTTGATGCTGATACCAAATAAAACTAACCTTTATTTACAAGGATAACTGTCGCTTAAACCAAACAGTATTTTGCCCCTCGAAATGTTCAGTACCAAGACAACATAAAACAATTAGAGCTTTCAACTTTAAGCTTCAGACTCTATACGTTTTTATTTTATTTTATTTATTACAACTTCATGTATAATCAAATTTACATTAGCGGGCTTAATGTCTAAGGCATTCTCCACCAGTCAACCAAAGATAGTTCAGAGTAAATAGTAGTGAGTTTTTTTTTTTATACTTAAATTTTTTATTAGATAATGACTAGGTATTTCTTTTTTTTGATAAATTGCGTTTTTTAGAAATTATATTTAAATACGAATTACATATTGATAAAATATGAATAATATTTTTCGATCTTACCGACAGAATCATAAAAAAATATGAACTGGTTATTTAAAGAAAAAATCAAAATTATCCATAAAGTTAATCATTGAAAACACGGATAAAACAACATTTTCTGAAAATAAATCGTAGCTAGATCGATTAATCGCCCCCGAAATCCCCTGTATACTAAATTTTATGAAAATGATGGAGTCGTTTCCGAGATTCAAATTATACATATACTAGCGTCCTGCCCTCGCTTCGCTTCGGAAACATTAAATTTTATTATTGATAGGCGAAGCCCGCCATGTTGGGCGCAGTACGACAATAACTGCGGGTGACGGGGTGAAGCTAGTCTAAAAAAAGTAGCCCAAGTTACTCCTTATATCATCAGCTACCTATTAGTGAAAGTCTCATCAAAATCGGTCCAGCCGTTCTAGAGATTAGCCGGAACAAACAAACAGACAGACAAAAATTGTAAAAAATGTTATTTTGGTGTATGTACCGTATATATGCATGTAGTAAAAAGCGGTTATTTCAATACTACAAACAGACACTCTAATTTTATTTATATGTATAGATGTATAGATATATATATTTATATACAAGAATTGCTCTTTTAAAGATATAAGATAACATATTGTTCGTACTCTAAAATACGCTTCCTGGTTATCACATTTGAGCGACCATACACGCAGTTTGTAAAAGCGTAAGAATCGGTAATTAATGGTAATAATGTGGTTCTAATTAGAACGGGCTCTCTAGTAAGTATCAGTGTTATTTTAACTAGAGCTAATTAGTCGTGTTTCTTTTGTTACAGAACGTCGCCGACCGCGTTACCGACAGCGTCGAGGAATGATATCGTAAGCGACCAGATGTTATTTTATTAATTTGGATGATTAGGACGTAGTCGTCGTGGCCTAAAGGATAAGACGTCCGGTGCATTCGTATATAGCGATGTACCGGTGTTCGAATCCCGCAGGCGGGTACCAATTTTTCTAATGAAATACGTAGTCAACAAATGTTCCCGATTGACTTCCACGGTGAAGGAATAACATCGTGTAATAAAAATCGTAATTATAATTTGCGTAATTACTGGTGGTAGGACCTCTTGTGAGTCCGCACCCTGCCTATTTTTGTCGTGAAGCGGCAATGCGTTTCGGTTTGAGGGGTGGAGCAGCCGATGTAACTATACTTGAGACCTTAGAACTTATATCTCAAGGTGGGTGGCGTATTTATATTGTAGATGTCTATGGGCTCCAGTAACTACTTAACACCAGGTGGGCTGTGTGCTCATGCGGTTTGTTAATGTGTATTTGTCTGTTCCTCAGAGCTTGGTAGGCGCGGGCGGCATAGCGGCCGGCGTGGGGCCCGGCGCGCGATACTCGCCCCACCACCACCAGCTGCTGCAACACTTCACCCACCCGCACCCCCTCGCTCATGCGGGTTAGTACGATAACGCACTTAGACAACTGAACAGTGTTTCCACAATGACGGGAATTTCCCCATTTGAGGGGAATTTAGAGTACATAGGGGGAGAAAAAGGGGAACACATTAAAAGGGGAAATTGCGGGAAATCATGGGTAAAACCTAAAATCGATAAAGACCTTTGTTTTTAGTTACTACACTAGGGTCAAAAGTAAAAACTGTCGCAGAAAAAATTTTGAGGGGAAAAAAGCCTTGAGAAGGGGAAATTTGAATTGAGGCGTGGGGAAAGGAAATCATTAAAGTGGAAACACTGCAACTGAGTGGCTCCCGCGTGAGGCCGCCGGTAACTGTCCCGTCGTGTTGCAGGAGTGGGGCGCTCCAGCAGCAGCTCGGCCGAGTCGGTGTCCAGCGCGTCGCCCCCGCCCGGAGCCCCGGCCTCCGCCCTCCGCCCGCAACGCTGCACGTGAGTACCGCGCGCCCCGCTACACTGTATTTTTTTTTATTGCCCTTGTAGGGAGACGAGTATACGGCCCACCTGATGGTGAGTGGTTATGGGACGTGGCAAAAAAGACCTCTGGAAACGCACTGTCGATGAACGCGGCGGTTCCAGGTAATATGGATGCTCCGATGGCGGGAGGTACGATGATAAAAAGAAGATGAGGGAATCATCTCAAACAATTCTTCAGAGCATTCCCCATGGAACATACATGTATAGTACACCAGGGGTGGCTAACTTGATTAGAACCAAGATCTACTGTCCACTGACGAAACACTGCGATCTACTAATGACATTTCTTGAAATTTAATCAATCAATGTAGTTCAGTATACAAAATTAAATAAGTAATATGTTTTCTGTTATTAAAAAAAATACATAACTCCTATAGACCGAATGGTAAACAGTGGACGTCGCCCAAAACACGTCATTACGGATCCTCCCGATCCATTAACGGTGCCTTTAGGTACCACAAGCGTACTCCTGCTGTACGGGGACTGAGTATGTGGTGTGGTCCACAGGCGCGTGCGCACGCTGTACGCCTGCCTGGGGGAGAGCGACGGCGAGCTGTCCTTCGAGCCCAACCAGATCATCACCAACGTGGCGCCCTCGGGGGAGCCGGGCTGGCTGCGCGGCTCGCTCAACGGCAAGACGGGGCTCGTGCCGGAGAACTACGTCGAGCCGCTGCCCTAGGGCGACCCCCCACCCCCAGACACACGCGACTATACGCTATATACTGGTGGTGGGACCTCTTTATGAGTCCGCGCGGGTAGGTACCACCACCCTACCTATTTCTGCCGTGAAGCAGTAATGCGTTTCGGCTTGAAGGGTGTGGCAGCCGTTGTAGATCTTAGAACTTACATCTCAAGGTGGGTGGCGCATTAACGTTATAAATGTCTATGGGTTCCAGTAACCGCTTAACACCAGATGGGCTGTGAGCTCGTCCACCCATCTACGCAATAAAAAAAAACGCTATTGCAATTACGAAGTCCCTTTTGACACTTCTTACAACGTGACTCTTCAAGTTTCGCATGATTTGAATTAATAATCATTTTTTGTTCATGGTAGTAAATCATCGTTTAAAAATACACAATCAATCTAAATCATTATACAATTAATTCACACACGCAATAATATAATAATAACATCTGTCTCATGGGTTATTCGTAATTGTAATAGAGTATAGGATTTATACATTCCGCTGAGATGTTGGGGAGGAGATTCGGAGAGTAGCCGATGGGATATTGTACTGGCGGCCCCCGGGGGACACTGGGGGAACCCGGGGGGCGCTGCGGACCCTGGTCCCCCCTCGGATGATATTAGATTTGTTAGATGAATTGTGTTCATTAAGTACATTTATAATTCAGATACGTTCGTACGTAGACTTGTCTAAGTGCTTGCCATTCTGTACCTACATTCTTGTTACATTCCATTATCTTGTAGTCAGTGGCGACGTCGGGTGTAGCAGTATTGTCACGTTATTAAATCATATTTTTTGTAAATATACTCTTAAATCGGCTTTATAGAGAACCTAATAAAATTTTAATATATTAATTTAGTAATAATTGTATTTATATGAAGCATGAAATATCTGCGTATTTGTGAAAAAAAATTTGGAAATCTTTACCGGATCTTGTCAATTATCGATATCGAAAATTTTTGGAGAATTTAAGTAATTTGTAAACGAACAAAATAAAATCACACATCAATATACATATCGTAACTATTGCCATAATATTGTCTGTCCATTTGTGTTGAGGCTGTTTATTTGTAGTTGATGTGCGCGGGCGAGACCGCGGGCAATACTATGTGTTAGTCGATAGTTGCAGCGGAGTGCTGGTCCCGCGCGTCCGGGAGGGAGCCCTGCCCTCCGTGGAGTCCCACGTTGCCACACATGTTATACCAGATTGGAATATAGGTCCCATTTTATATCTGTGATCTGCCGCGCGTGCTCCATAACCTCCCTTCAACTGTTTTTCTACTCACCTTAAGGCCAAGCACTGTCTCCGTAAAAAATCCGACTCTTCAATTGGTCACTTAATGTTATCAGATAAAGTTCCTTGACCCGAGTCAGATTAGTAAAGTGGAGAAAATAGGTGATGGCCAATTAAAAAAACAATTCGTTAATTTAAAAAAAAAGTACTATTTTTTTAATCTAAAAAAATCTTTGTTGTATTTAATACATATTAATTTATCTTCACTGTAAACTGTTGAAGTTTTGAAGTAATTTCCATTTTTTTTTAAAGTTCCTACCATAGATCTCGTGTGACCAGCACTGAAGCTAAATATATTTCCATTTTTATAGTAGTTATAATTATTAACGTACGCATTAAAACGCGACACCAAATAATATTTAGTTTTTACGTTGTTGATTCTTTTATACGTCTGTATATTTTGTAAATAAGAGTTTGTTGATATTTTAACTATTTATACATATATATTATTATATATACATTATGATTATTATACTTTGTTGTGAAATTTCTACCAAATATACTGTAAACTGTATTAATGTGTACGCGAGTTGGTACTTGTGAATGCCTAATATTAAACTAATTGAAATATTTTTTGTTGTATTATTTGTTTCAAATATTAATACGTGAAGCAAAAACTTTGTATCCCTTTTTACGAAAATTTCGCGGACGGAGGAGTATGAAATTTCCCACACTTATAGAGAATATAGAGAAGGAGTGCAGAATGTTAATTTTTTTTTAATTATGCATAAAAAATACATTAAATCAAGTAAAAAAAACATTACACACACTACCATGTATTTGACACACACACGCATGCATACTATTTGTTTATTGTCACACTTTTCTTATTGCCTAGAGTATGTGGTCAAATCACTGAAGGGTCAAATTCAGGGACGTCCTAAACTAGGCTGGGGCCCTTGGGCACACAAGAATTTGAGGCCCTTTTGGAAAGTAAAAAAAGCGAATTATAATAACATTTTTTTGCTAAGTATGACCATTTATTATAGGTAATCAAACACAGTATGATATGATAATATTAATGATATTAAAATGCTGCTGGTTTTTTTGTTACGATTACGATAATGGTTTCTTTCGGGATTTCTGTTGAGCAAAATATTCCATTATATCTTTAAAGTCAATTTTTTGAAAGATATTACTTTCTATGCCCATAATTGACAAATTACTCAGCCGTTCTTGTAACATTTGTAAAGAAAATGATTTAAAAGTCTTGCTTAAAAAAAATTAATCACTCACCCGTTTGTCATTGAATGATAAGAGAGTTCAGTTTTGTACAAAATAATAATACTATTTAATTTTTTATATTAATTTTAAGAGATTAAGGGCTTTAATTGTTGTTTTCTTATTATTAAGTCTTTTATTGTTTACTAGCGGCCCGAACCGGCTCCGCTCGGGTCTTTAACAAAAATTTCAATGATATTTGACGTTGTTTTATTTTTTTTTAAATAAAAGAAGACTTATTGCAGCTTTAGTTTATTAGTTAGACATATGCTGTCGCTACACTTTTTGTAAAGTACATTATTTTATTCTATCATCAATAGTTTTCGCAGGGCACGCGATGTAAAGAATATTTTAGGTAATTTTTTTACACCTTGGGTTACATTATTGGAGTTTTAGTAAGGATCCCTAATTTTTTTTAAAAAAGATTATAGCTTATGTCACTCGGGAATAGTGTACTTTCCAAACAGTGAAAGAATTTTTCAAATCGGTTCAGTAGTTTCGGAGCCTATTCAATACAAACAAACAAACAAATCTTTCCTCTTTATAATATTAGTATAGATTTATTCTGAAGTATTCCATGTCATTATATTATTATATTTTTTTTACTTATTTTTTTCCTTCCTATGCTGATAGCCTTGAGAGGCTATTTCAGCTTCACGTGTAGGTGAGCTAACGTGGCTCAAACCCGAGTAGTGCTAACACTGGCCCTAAGCAATGTTTCGCAGAATTTACCACCGGATCGGAAACGCGACCCACTGAGAAGATCCGGCGAGAAACTCAGTGGGCTGTGTCTGAGGGTTAATTGGGTAGCGGTGTTTGTGGTACCTAAAAGCACCGTTAATGGGTCGGGACGGTCTGTAATGACGTGTTTTAGGCTGTCATTATATATAATACACATATAGATATGAAACGTCCAGACAAAGAGTAAACAAAACAAACTTGTTCATCACACAGTCTTTTCCAGTGTGCTTAGTGCGAGTTTTTTAACGTTCTCGATAGCGTAAAAGTTAGCTCATATTCGTATGGAGTGGAATCGTTTGCGAACGTTTGCCGCTAGGGGCGCTGTTCCAACTGCATACAAAATTGGCTTAACTTTTACCCTATCGAGAACGTTAAGAAACTCGCACTAAGCACTCTGGTGTAGGAATCGAAGTCACGACCCTCGGTCCAGCAGACAGCAGCTCTGACTACTGCACCAGCAAGTCAGACGAATGGTGTTGAACCATTGCTCAGCGCAAGTCTCCCCGCAACTTGAGTAGGCGGGTCGCCTGGGACACTCGGTCGATGTTACACTAGTGTGCTTAGTGTGAGCTTTTTAACGTTCTCGATAGCGTAAAAGTTAACAAAAATTTGAGAACAGCGCCCCTAGCGACAAACGTAGGGAAAGTGAAACCTAAGTAAGTGATTCCGTCTAAAAAAACTTTTTTTTTAAACGAAAGTTTTAATGGTTTTGAATGATAAAGATTTTTCTTTACAGATATATTTATTTTAATCGAGTAAAACAATTTTCAAAGGCGTATATTTAATCAGCCAACACATTACATTGTATAATGAATGCCTTAGAAGTTATGTTACATTGCCCTTTCATTACATTGTGTACGTACAAAAACAATAACCAAAATGTAATAATCAAGAATAGGGATGGACCTCATGCAGCGTGTATATATATAGTATGTACGTGTGCGCAGCTCGACGCGGCCGGCGAGCCCGTGTTCTGGTAGCTTATGTTATATAGTACGATTATTTGTATAAACACTCGTCAATGAATCCCGGGCATGTGACACTCCTAAACGAAAGCTATACTTAAATTAGACTACATAGTGCGATATAGAGGAATATATTATAGATCCAATTTATTATTGTGAAAAATTACATTTCTTAGTACATTACGACATTTATTTCATTTGGATTTACGTCGTGTCGTGACGTCCCTTACAATGGCTCCGAATTATTTGCGGAAGAGGGACGAGAGCGTCGTGCACGCGATCAGTCGCACCGCGTCGGGCCGTCAGCCGATGGCGCGGCCCCCCGCGGACAATTAGCTGGGGGGCGGGGCGCGCGCGGGGGGCGGCGGCTGCTCGGCCCGCAGCTCCAGCTGTCGCGCGTCCGCGGCTCGCAGCAGCCGCAGCAGCGACGAGTACTTGTCCTGCAGCGCCTGCAGCCGCGCCGCGCCCTCCTCCGCCGCCGCGCGCGTGGCCCTCTTCAGCTCACCGATGGCGGCGTCGCGCGCGGCCAGCGTCGTCTCCAGCTCGTGGGCGCGGGCCGCGGCCAGCTCGGCGCGAGCAGTAGCCGCCTCCGCCTCCGCCTCGGCGCGCGCCAGGGCTGCTCGCGCAGACCGCTCGTCGGGTCGTGGCGCGGCGGGGCGTGGCGCGACGGGACGGGGCGCGGCGGGGCGGGTGGCCTCCCGCACGGCCTCGCTGAGCCGCGCCTCCCGCTCCGCCAGCACCAGCAGCTCGCGCCGCAGCCGCTTGACGTGCTCGGCGCGTCGCTCGGCGGCGAGGGCGGCGCGTGCGAGCGCGTCCACGTGTCGCGCGACCTCGAAGGCGTCCCCGCGCTGGCGCTGCAGCTCGGCGGTCTCGTGCGCGCGCATGGCCTCGGCCTCGTGCAGCGCGGCCTCGGCGCGGAGGCGGGCGGCGCGCTCCTCGTGCAGGGCGGCGAGCGGGTCGGCGGGCGGCGGGGGCGGGGGCGGCGGGTCGCGGAGGGCGCAGGCTCGCAGCTCGTCCCGCTCGCGCGTGAGGGCGCGGACCCGCTCGGCGAGGGCCTGGTTCCGCAGCTCCAGCGCGCGGACCTGGCGGCAGCGGCCCAGCAGGCGCCGGTTCCTCTCGGCGNGGGCCTGGTTCCGCAGCTCCAGCGCGCGGACCTGGCGGCAGCGGCCCAGCAGGCGCCGGTTCCTCTCGGCGTGTGCCTCGCGGCGCCACCGCTCGTACATGAGCTGCGCGTGCAGGAGCGCGACCTGGTCATCTCCGCTGGAGGAGCAAGTCCGGCCCGCGTACAGCTCCGCTAAATATGTCTCGAGGCGTTCGCAAGGGGCACTAGACTCACCCTGAAAAATAAACATAAAATTTGTTATGATTTCATAGGCAATTCTACGATGGGCAAAATATCTTAATTAAAAATCATTGTTTTTTTTAATATACATAGTTGATTTTTATTAATTAATTGAAAATGTCGTCGGTTTTCAAAGCGTTTACATTAGAAGTTGCATAAAGAAACTAAAGCCGAAAAAAAAGCTAAAAAAATGTAACCAGTGTTATGGTGCTCCTTTCATCCTTCTATCACCCTTTCATCTAATGGATAAAATCGTGACTACTGAACTTACTTCAACTCAAAACATGGGTAGTCACGATTTGAACACCATTCAAATCTAGTGTTTTGATGTTATAAAGTAGTAGTAGTTCTATTTTTTCAACTGGAAAAGCAAAGATATCATAGCATACAGCCTAATATTGAAAAAAATATTTTTTTTAATGAAAAATTATTATATTATGTAAAGTGAAATGAAGTTGATTAATTTGAAACATTAATCAATTGGCATGAAATTAAATGAATTGATAAGATCAGATAATATGGGATGAAATATAATCTGTGAAATTGTGGTTATTTAGTGAGACTTTTTGGAGGATCCCGAGAAGCTACGTCCAGCGGCTTTGTTTCATTTTCCCACATTTAATTTTGTGCACTTTCACAGATGCTAAACAGTTAATAAACCACCGCTATTACACATTTAAATATGAAGAAACATTAAATAGACAGAATAAAACAATTTACACAACTTCGATCCTCGCGTTTCCGCCAAAAAGTCCCCTGATGTGTGTTTTGTACAATTTGAACTTCGACTTCATATCTCTAAGCGGGCAGCGGTACGGACTGTGCGATATCTATGGGTTCGGTTAGATCGCGGGCTCGCCTGGGCGACAGAAATAACAAATACTGTGATGGAGGTTTAGTTTCTCACTCACCTGGCGAGCAGTGTCGTCGGGTAATGTTCTATAGAAGTCGGCGATTATGAACTCGTACGGTTCCGGCCAGAGGTCGACCGTTTGTACGGCGACAGAGCGACGGGCGGCGCCGGAGTCCCGGTCGCAGGACGCCGCGCGGTACAGGGAGCCTCGCTCGCGCCCGCCCGCCGCCCCTCGGCCCGGGGACCGCGCACGGCGCCGCGCGTCCAGCACTACCGCTCTCTCACTGGCGCCTCCGCCCTCGGGCCACTCCTCGTCGACGTCGGCGCAGCGGGTGAGTTCCAGCACCTCGCGGTCTTCTACATTAAACGGCTCCATGTCGAGCAGCGGTGCGGGGCGACTGGGCTCCGGCCTGGTCACGCCGGCGGAGGGCTGCGTCCCCGAGAAGGGCACGGGCGAGTCCACCGCCCGACGCTCCTGCACCACGCGCGCCAGCCGGGACGAGTACACGTCCGCCGCCGGGGACGTCTCCTTGCGGGGAGGGGACGCGCCGCGAGACTTCCGGCCGATCGCTCGCACCGCGCCCGAATCCATAGGAAAGCGAAACTGAGCCCGAGTGTCTCGAGCTGGTGTGTTCTCCGGAGTTGCTTCGACCGCGGCCTCGGGAGGCTCTCCAGTATCGGTGTCCGCTGGTAATGGAGTCGGTGGGGCCGAATCCCCGCCACAACGTTCTGCAAGCGGGAACCAGGGCTCTGCCCCCGGGCGCAGCGCGGATGCAGCCCGGGCGGCGTGCGCTCCGGAGCCCGGGGCCGGGGAGTGTGCGGTGGGTGCTGTGGGTAGCATCGGCTGCGGGGAGGGCGCCGGGTCATCCCGAGCGGGAATAGAGAGCCGACGCGTCTCCGCGACTACATCGTGTATCTCCCGCCTGGCCCACCGCGTGGTGTCCGCCTCCTGCGTCTGTGAGCCGGTGAGGATGGCGGGGTGGAGGCGCACGGACGACGCGAGCGAGGCCACGGCGCGCTCCCAGGCGGCGCGGGCAGCTCCCACGTTCAATTTGGAGCCGTAGTCGCGTAACATTTTTAGCAGCGTGCAAGGATGCGTGGCGTAGATGGCTCGAAATAGAGCCAGTTGGCCAAGATGGAGGTGAGCGCGAGTAGGCGGCGGAAGATTCTGTTCGATATGGGCGGGACGTAGCAGAGTCTCGGTGAGGTCCTGCGGGTAGGAAGTGGCGAGGGCGGGCGCGGCCGGCAGCAGGGCGGCCAGCGCCAGCAGCGCGTGCAGGAGCGGCAGCGCGTCGGTCTCGCGCAGGGCGGCGCGCACCAGGTCGCGGGCCAGCGGGTGGTCGGGCAGGCGGTGCAGCCAGGGCGGGCGGCGCGCCACGAGCGGCGCCAGGGCGGAGAGCGCGTGGTGGCGGGCGGCGCGGTCGGCGCGCAGCTGGTCGTGCAGCTGGTCCAGCAGGTGGCGCACGTGCGGCTCGGGCGCGCGCGCCAGCAGCTCGAGGGCGCGCGCGGAGCCGGTGCGCGCGTGGTACAGCAGCAGGGCGCGCGTGAGCCAGGGTTCGCGCACGGAGCTGTACAGCGCGCAGAGGGCGTCGCCGGCCGAGCGCGCGCCCTCCGCGCCGCCCTCAAGCAGCGCGAACACCTCGCCCGCCTCGCACGCCGTCAACATCTCCGAAAGCCTGGGGAGGTGTATACATTTTATCTTTATAGTAAAATGTTATTTACTACCTTCTAATAGTAATGAAACACTTTTATATCTATGTTAGACATACATATAAATTAAGCACAAGAAAATTGCAGCCTTACACAGATTTTAGTTATTATTCTGTAAATATTTTTTTTTTTCATTCATATTATAACTTATTTGAAAAAATTATTCGATTTAAAATTCCAGACTTCAGACTTAGTAGTTTAAATTAATCTTTTGTGCTGGAAAGACATCCCACACACATTTTAATGGTTTTGTCATACAATCATCAAAGACATGCATGGTGCCTGATGGGATTATTTGACAGAGCACAGACTACCATTGCACAACATAGCATACAGTTTCAACATTAAACACATAATCTAAAATAGAAAGCAAAAGTGAAGTTAACATTATTATGTACAAAAATAAAACACAATAAAGAATAAAGATAGCAATAGGATTGCTAAAATTGTTTTTCCACCATTTTTTTTTCAGGCTTGGTTGGACGAGCTCATGGCCAACCTGATATTAAATGGTCACTGGAGCTTATAGAAATCTGCAACGTAAATGCCACCACCTACCTTGAGATATTAATTCTAAGGTCTCAGTTTTTACAGTACAACTGCTGCCCCACCCTTCAAACCGAAATGCATTACTGCTTCACGGCAGAAATAGGTAGGGTGATGGTACCTACCTGTGCGGACTCACAAGACGTCTTACTACCACTAATTACGCAAATTATAATTTTTCGGGTTTGATTTTTATTCCTTCACCATGGTACTTAATCAAATCTTGAACATTCGTTAAGTACGTATTTCATTATGAAAATTGAAACTTGTCAGCGGGATTCGAAATCTTATCCTTTAGGCCACTACAATTTTACAAATTGGTATGTAATTGGTTTATAATTTTATCTGTAGGTAGGAAGGTAGTGGATTTCACAATCTTCACAATCTATAGATTTTAAATATAACTAAAATTTGGATATATGCACAAAATCCAAAATTAATTTTACCATTTGGGCAAAGTATAAGATTTTTTTAAAAAGCAAATGCAATACTAAAATACTAACGGAAATCTTAGGAAATTATTGTAACAGAAATGAAGCATTACATGAGACAATTTTGGAGATATAAATGAGGAGGACACAAAAGCATATTTAACTTTATGCATCTTGATGTCACAACTCATACTGGACTATTTTGGTACATACATTTTTGAATTAATTGCCAGCATATAGATAAAATAGAATAAATATAAAATAGAATAATAATATGGCAATTTCTGAGCAACATTCCAATGGGTTCCAAAACTCTATTCTATTTTTTTATTGCATTGACACTCTTTTCTTGCCTGGTAAATATAATATGTATTTTCTATAGGCAATCAATAAATCACTCTTTGAGTTAATAGTCCATAATTAAACTATCATCTCTGTTTAGTAAAAAAACTGACCTATTTGACATCAGCATCATTGAAACAACTAAAAACTTACGTTTGTAGAATATTTTCATTCTAACACGATTTACAAAAACACTTTTACAATTGTAAAGAATAATACCTTCACAAATGTTCCTATTTATAAATATGTGGTTACTTTTGCTTTCAGCCATTTCAAATACTACTTTTTTCCTATCTACTACTAGTAACTTCGAGGGGTTATACTAGCTTCACCGAACGTGAATATAGTAGGTACAAACTATACAAACCAATTTATGTACAATAACTATAATTTATTAAAATATTTCGAGGGTCTGACTATCTAATATAATACCGGACTATTTATATATCTATGTACTATCTTCAGATTCTAACCACAGAATGGAAAATTGTTTAAAAGCTACCATAACATAACTAACAACACAAAAGCCGATAAATTTTTATCACGCACCAGTCAGTGCTTCGGAGAGATGTGCCTTGATTGATCGCAGCTGGAGGAATTTTGATATATTTCAATTAAAACGCTTCCAAAATTTAAAAAAGTAGACTTCAATAGTTTTTTTAATCACAATGTTTTATTAATTTACAATGCAGTGCGTAAAATATTAAATAATTTCAATGCAATTTCTATTTTCTTTCTATATTGACAATTGACATATCTGTTCAATCTGTTGTTCTTAATTTTTTATTTACAAATTTATGGCCAACGGCTACATAACCTTAGAGTCTAGCACAGATGTAAATTCTAATGACATTCACGAAACGAAATGAAATGAATTAGAATAATTAGAGTATTTAATAAATTTGGATGAAATGAAATTTAAGGAGGTGAGAAGGGATAAAAGTAAAATTGATTATTAATTTTTTGTTCTACGGACTTTTTGGTAAAGCCTGAGAAGCCACATTCACGGCTTTGTTTATTTTTTCCACATTTATACACTTTCACAAATACTAAACAGCTAATATTACACCTTAAACTGGTAAAAAGATACGCAATTGACGCAAAAATTCTGTTCACACAACTTTACTTTAAGTTTAGCATCTGTGAATGTGTGAAAGTGTTGAAAAATATAGAAACAAAATCAGCTTTTCAAGCACTGCTAAATAATATTATCGGTATATTCCTACTATTTTACTCAGAGGCTATTTCATTTCATCATTACCATTCACTATATTCCATTTCCACCTTTCTTTCATTCGAGTTTTGTTAAAATAGATATCATCGGTCTTTGTTACAGAAGATTTGGCTTTAAGTGCGACTTTCCCTATGCTTGTCCAATGGACAAATCAAACAAATGATGTCAAAAATATAAATTTTGATAAAGAAAACTATAACCTAAATCTGGCGAATAGAGACTTTTTAAATTTCGTTAAATAGAAATACCTACTACTGTCAGAGCAGAAATGAAAAATGTTTACGAATGATTTCAATCTTAAATTAAATTAGGGGATTAATAATTTTAATGGTATATTTTAATGAAGTGTTAAGTGATTTTTAAATAGTTAAGCATGCTCAGAGCGGTTTCCGTGTTGTGTGGAGAAAGTCAATCTTTTTTACTTTATACCACCGCTAGGAGAGATGCCTACAAACTCTTCCGTAAGTTCTGACATCGTGTAAATAAAAAAATATATATTTATTATTTAGTAACTAATCAGTAGCGGATAATTTTAAAGCAAAGTACTTAAGCGAATTGCACTGTTAAAAAAGAACTTGTTGCAATAGGCTAAATCATGTAACGTGTTTGAAACTTACTAAAGAAACACTAACTGTTCATTTAACTGTTAGGTGGGGGGCAACGACATTACTACGGTAACCACTTATGATCGCGTAGCCCCAATGCTCGTCTCTCTCCATTCCTAATCATAAACACAAATGAGAGTGAAAGAGAAAAATGTGTTTTTTTTTTATTCATTTCAAATGGTAAAAAAGTCATGGCTTATAAATATAATTTTTTGTTTAAATAATGAAGGAAAATTAAAAAACCTAAATGTTGTAGACCTAGGGCACCCCACTGTAATATAGAGCCCTCACAAGTTGTCTTCACTTGACCCTGTTTTATGCTTGCTTCTTGACATCACTCCAGGTCATGCCGGCAGTCGTAAATACAGAAAAATGAATAAATTATGTAATTTATAAAAGATGCACATCTTATTATAACTTTTTTATTATTGACGGAGTAGGCTGGTGCCATTAGAGAGGTCTACTTTGTTCGGCTGCTTGAGCTGAAATGTTTTGAGCGACGATAGTCACTCGTATTTATAGTAGAAAGTGGGGGTAGCTTAGTCATGAATTCTCTTGAATACCGTCTTATTCAGTTGTTGACATGCGTAACATCAAGGAAACCGTTACACAAGTAACTGTTGTATCTTTAACTATTTTTAGTTTAAATAGTGATGTTGCATCAACCTATATTCCAAATAATGTCAATTGCAGGTAATACATATGCCTCTGCCTCGACATCATCACAGGTGAATATATAAAAATAATCTTGTTCCTAATTTACTTGTTTACTGAATTTATTTTTACTAGGCTTATACTAAATATTTAAAATTATAATATTTCTTATTAATGTTTAATCAATATGCTATGTAATAAATCCTGTAACGTTTGAATTACAAGCGGCCAAGGAAAATTAAGAAATACCGAACTGTAAGTAATTTGTTTAATAATTAAATAATCACAGAATTGTTTATGAATTTTACAGTATTACAGTATACTTAGATAAATAACAGGTTAACTATTAACCTTTATTTAATGCAGGTCTTGAACCGTATTCTTTGAAGGAGACGATTATATTCAAATCAATCTGTATTGACATATCAATTTTTTTTTTTTGTCCAAATGCACAGATTGCCACCTTTGATAATAGACGACTCACTTGTGTGTTGTATAAGGACCCAGCTACAGGTTAACATATTTTCCACAGACTGTCCTTACATCGGAAGCATCACAAGCATCACATAGTCCCAGTGTACATTCACCCCCTCCTGCACAATCAAGTCCACCTCCTACACCGCCATCACAGTCTCCGCGGCGATCATGGACCGTTGCAGCAGCCCTAGCACTCACCGCATCGGTTGGTGGAGTAAGTTTAGATAAAATATACTATTTTTATAAAGCCATTGAAATCATTTTATTTTTAAAGCTAAAAGATTAATCATAAAAATAGTAGAAAAGATAATATTTGTAATATCTTTAAAGTTACGTAAATAGATTATTAGATGGTTGGACGAGCTCACAGCCCATCTGGTGTTAAGTGGTTACTGGAGCCCATAGACATCTACAACGTAAATCCGCCACCCACCTTGAGATTGAAGTAATTCGCACAAGCTAAAACAGTCATGTATGAACCATTCTGATATTTTGAGTTGCATTCAGTATCAGTATAGGTTGTAATCTTGTGCTCCTCTCTATGTAATAGAAAAATATATTTATGAGTTCATGAACAATAACTGAGAAAGCAAGAAATCATTTGAAATTATTTGTTTAAGTGACATTGAAATTATGTCATCATGAGCGTTATAGTTTAGTAACTAATTTATATATTAGGCACACAATACACATTACAAGCTAAAAAGATACACAAAAAATAACAACAAGTAAAAAAATCTGGCTTGGAACATAACCAAAATGATTAAAGATATTGTGAGCTTACACAGCTAGACTACATACTCCTTCCATTTCTTATAAAAACAACATCATCTGAAATATCAGTAATTTTGTACAATATACAGTAGAGTTTAATATTTTTACAGATATATTTCTTTCGTAAGCTGAGTGAAGAAGAAAATAAAATAATACCCTCTGGTAAGTAGTTGCTATTGTAGAGTTCGTCTGGGAAACATTCTCAGATGTTAGTGAGTCCCCAGTTATCTATACTAATATATAAATCTACAGTGGTTTTTATGGATGTTCCGTTATAACTACTGAGCCATGCATCCGATTGACTTGAAACTTGGTATCCATATAGAAAATATATGTACTTAATGGATAGGCTAATATTTATATGAGTGTTGGCCTCCCTACACCAGCTGCGGGGGCGTTAATGATGGGAATCTTTGTGGGGTTGAAAAATAATAATGTAAATTTTAAATGCCCAGCGAAGCGGATTCGTACATATAGTTTGTCATGTATTTTTTGTTTTATTTCACGATACAATTTTTCCAAAATAGAAGATGCACCAAAAAAGAATGTTGAGCCAGTACGGACACCCATCCCGGCGTCTGCGGATCATCTACCGCGACACGTGCAGTTCCTGCTGGTCGGTGCTGGTACTGCCTCGTTTGCAGCCATGAGGGCGATACGCAGTCAAAAACCCGACGCCCAGGTAAAAAATATTCGTTATTTAAATTCAAAATTTCAAAATTTAAAGTCGTCGTGGCCTAAAGGATAAGATGTCCATTGCATTCGTGTTGAGCGATGCAACGGTCGGTGTTCGAATCCCAGGCGGGTACCAATTTTTCTAATGAAATACGTACCCAACAACTGTTTACTTCCATGATGAAGGAATAACATCGTGTAATAAAAATCAAACCCGCAAAATTATAATTTGCGTAATTACTGGTGGTAGGACCTCTTGTAAATCAGTGCGGGTAGGTACCACTGCCTCGCATATTTCTGCCGTGAAGCAGTAGTGCGTTTCGGTTTGAAGGGCGGGGCAGCCGTTGTAACTATACTGAGATCTTAGAACTTATATCTCAAGGTGGGTGGCGCATTAACGTTGTAGATGTCTATGGGTTCCAGTAACTTCTTAACACCACGTGGGCTGTGAGCTCTTCCACCCATCTAAGCACTAAAAAAAAACAAATGTTAACTAAAAAGTCAGTGTTTTAATAAATTAGTCCATGTACAAACCCTGTTATGGGTAAATAATTGAAAATTAAATGTTGTTTTTGCCTCTTTAGTACCTGAAACTGGCAGGTATTTTGAAGAAGGTACGCACAGCCCACCCGGTGTTGAGTGGTTACTGAAGCCCATAGGCATATACAACGTAAATGCGCCACTCACCTTGAGATATCTAAGGTCTCAAGTATAGATACAACGGCTGACCCACCCTTCAAACCGAAACGCATTACTGCTTCACGGCAGAGATAGGCAGGGTGGTGGTACCCACCCGCACGGACTCACAAGAGGACCTACCACCAGTGATTACGCAAATTATAATTTTGCGGGTTTCACTTTTATTACACGATGTTATTCCTTCACCGTGGAAGTCAATCGTGAACATTTGTTGAATACGTATTTCATTAGAAAAATTGGTGCCCGCCAGCGGGATTCGAATACCGGGGCATCGCTGCATACGAATGCACCGGACGTCTTATCCTTTAGGCCACGACGACTTCTTATGTTTATTCTAATCATTGAAAACACAGGGTGACTAAGTGCTAGAATTAGAGTGGTGGAACCTATATAACAGTATGTCTGTGCCGGGTCAGGTGCTGATGGTGGGTTCGGAGTACCAGCTGCCGTACATGCGGCCTCCGCTCACCAAGGAGCTGTGGCGGGAGCCAGACCTGGACAAAGTCACAGACCTCGACTCCTTGACCTTTAAACAGTGGAACGGCAGGGTGAGAAGGTAAGTAAGGTACTTTAATTATTAGATAATAAACTTTACTGATATAAATACGCTCTTTTTTTATTGCCCTTGTAGGCAGACGAGCATACGGCCCACCTGATGGTGAGTGGTTACTGTCTCCCATGGACTTCAGCAATGCCAGGGGTAGAGCCAAGCCGCTGCCTACTGTTAAGTCTTAAGTTGTAAGTGAATGTCTTAAGTGAACATGAGATACAGATATTATTTTCTGTTGATTATAAAATTTCTTTTTATTCATAGGATTCTAATCATAATTTCACCATCGCAACATGAACTATTAAATTTTTCTTGAGTCTTTTTTATTTTATTGCATATATGGGTGGACGAGCTCACAGCCCACTTGTTGTTAAGTAGTTATTGGAGCCCATAGACATCTACAACGTAAATGCGCCACCCACCTTGAGATATCTAAGGTCTCAAGTATAGGTACAACGTCTGTCCCACCCTTCAAACCGAAACGCATTACTACTTCACGGCAGAAATAGGCGCTGTGGTGGTACCTCCCGCGCGGACCCACAAAAGGTCCACCAGTAAAGTCTCGCTAGGGCAATTCCAGTTTTGTCGAATTTATTATATTCGGTGCTAGCTGATGTTGCCGACTCAGCACCAGTGAGGGCCGCTTGAGACAGTGGTGCGTGTGTCCTCAGCCTGGCGTACGAGCCGAGCGCGTTCTACACGCCCGTGGAGCAGCTGGAGGAGCGCGGCGCGGGGTGCGGGGTGGCGCGGGGCTGGGCGGTGCGGCGCCTGGACGTGGCGCGGCGCCGGGCCACGCTGGAGGGCGCGGGGGGCGCGGGGGGCACGCACACGCTCACGTACGACTACTGCCTCGTCGCGACCGGTCAGTCACACGTCACGCGCCAGTAACAGTGCTAGTTCTGTATATATAAATGAATTGCTGTTCGTTAGTCTCGCTAAAACTCGAGAACGGCTGGACCGATTTGGTTAATTTTTGTCTTGGATTATTTGTGGAAGTCCAGAGAAGTAACAACATTCAGTCCTATTGTACTGAATGTTCGGATGTTACAAATTATAGACCTTTTATGATTACCAAATAAACTCTATACTAGCTTACTTTAGATTTTTTTAAATGTATTATTATAATAAAATTAATTAATATTGACATTTTTAGTTATAACTTATACGTACATAATTGCACCTTTTTTTTGACACTCAAACATATACAATATAATACGATACTTAGAACAGAACGCAACAGACAACGGACCTCTAGATATGATCCGACTTTTGTATAATATATTCTTTGGATATGAACGTCATGTTTAGTGTTATGTGACATACTAAATTTTTCCGGGTAATAAATAGGTAGTGTTACAGCACGCCAGCGGTCGGGGAACTTTTTTAATTATTACCCAAAAATATATTTGTGTAAGTTGATATTACCCCATGGCGAGAACAAAAAAAAAACGAAATCGCTTCTTTTTAGCATCTTTCATATTATAGCCCCCATGATAATTTTGAAAAGAAAACAATAACAAAAAATTTAATTTAAACATCATTTATTCAATAATTAATGAATGTGTTCTATCTCCTCTCTTTAATGAACAGCTTTTTTTTGATGCATGCAGTCGATACCTGTAATTGTGTTAGCATTTAGTGTGAAATCAATGTATATGATACCTGTAATGTTCTGTGCTGATGTATAATATGTTGGTACCCAATAAATAAAATAAAAATAAAATCTCATTATCTCGCCGGCTGAATCCTTATACATTTATGTGTTTGTGTCTCTATGGACTTATTTTTTCGTTTCGTTTCATCGAGTTTGAAATCACAACGATTCTAAAGAAGTTTTCACTTCAATATATCGACGCTTGAAAGGCAAACGTGACTAAGCGACAATGAGTGAACTTTACAGTAGACTAATTTAAAGTTGAAATACCTGAAAACTAAATTTATTTTAACGAATCTAGTTGTAGTAGAATCTAGCTAGTAGCTGTAGGATTGAAATGATATTAATAGACCTAGAAATATATTTTTCGCGAATCGAATATGGTTATTGACTATCATTTATGTACAAAGCAGTTATTATCGCTTAGTCACGTTTGCCTTTCAAGCGTCGATATGCTTTTTACTCACAAAAATGAAACATTTTTACCCCCCGAAATTTCATTTTACCCTATTTGGGGTAATTTACCCCGGTTCCCCGACCGCTGCAGTACGCGGTCGTGCTATATGACGCGCAGTGCACGGCACACAGTAGTGACACATGTGTAGTGCGCAGGCGTGGTGGCGCGGCGCTCGGCGGCGCTGGCGGGCGCGCGGGGCGCGGGGCGGGCGCGCACGCTGCGCACGGCGGATGACGTCACGCAGCTGGCGGCGCGGCTGGCGGGGGGGGACGTGCAGCGCGTGGCCGTGCTGGGCGGGGGGCTGCTGGCCACCGAGCTCAGCGCCGCGCTCGCCGCCAGATGTGAGTCCACTAGTCATATGGCATGTTCTTACTGTCGCCTACTCCTAATACTTTATCCTACTACTAGCGGCCGCTCCGGCTCCGCTCGGGTCTTTAACAAAAATTGCAACGATATTTGACGTTGTTTTATTTTTTAAATAAAAGAGCACTTATTGCGGCATAACTATAATAGTTAGACTTAAGCTGTCGCGACACTTTTTGTATATAATAATGTGTTGTACAAAGTCGTGGTAAATTATTTTATTCTATCATCAATAGTTTTCGCAGGGCACGCGATGTAAAGAATATTTTAGGTATTTTTTCTACACCTTGGGTTACATTATTGGAGTTTTAGCAAGGATCCCTAATTTTTTTCAAAAAAGATTATGGCCTATGTCACTCGGGAATAGTATAGCTTCCAAACTGAAGATTTTTTTAAATCGGTTCAGTAGTTTCGGAGCCTATTCTATACAAACAAACAAAATTTTCCTCTTTACAATATTATAAGTAATAAGTATAGATTTCCTATAAATTGCCGGCTGGTTTGTGTGATCCTAATGAAATAGTATTGATTATTAATACTTTTCTACTTCTTTTCCTTTTTTTCTTATTTCATATTAGGTTAATATTTATTCTAATGTAATAAAATATATTAAAATAAATAAATTAATATTAATTAATTATTATTATTCTATTATTAATACATATTATGACCATGTCTAGTGATATATAAACAAAAGAAAGTACAAACCATGATATAAAAGAAAAAATTAAAGAATTTGTCTATAGAATTTACAATTTATTTTCAGTAAAGGATACGGGCAAAACAGTATTAGAATTGTACCGAGAGAGTAGTCCTCTAGCGTCCATCCTGCCCTCCTACCTCGCGGAGGAGGCCGCCCGAAGGCTCCAAGAAGCGGGGGTCACACTCCTGCCTGAAGGTGAGCTACTCTCTCTACAACCTGGTTCTCTATGTAAACATACAACTAGACAGAATAATTAACGAATACAGAATAATTACAGAATAATTAATAAGTTTTTATTTGGATTAAGATTCTTTGGGCTCTTAAATTGTTATGACAGATGCCAATGAAAAGCAGTTTGACCATTGAGGACACATCAAAGGAAAAACAGAATTGTTATTTTTATTTAATTCCGAGCATTTTCATATTTATTTACCTATTAAATCTTCTCTGGACTTCCATAAAAATGAAAATGGGAAAATGAAACAAAGCTGCTGGACGTAACTTCTCGGGTTCCTCCAAAAAGTCCACTGAAAAAATCTGAGTAAATGACCACCATTTTACTGAGATTATATTTCATCCCATATCATCTCATTTCATTTAATTTCATCCCAGTTGATTAATGTCTCAAATTTATCATCTTCATTTCATTTCACTCCATATTTGGATTGGATATTAATAATTTTTCATAAAATTAAGAACATAAATTAAAATAAGACATGACTTAAAGGTCTTAGTTACCAGGTCGTAAAATCCCTTAAAAAATGTGTTGTCAGTAACACTGACAGTGGGAACAATAGTTATATATCAAAGTCAAATCAGAATTTTGTAAAAAAAAATTTTTTGTTCAACAGCGGACGTGGTAGATTCTAGAGTGGTTGATGACAAAGTGCTGATGCGACTTGCGAGTGGTGCCGAGGTGGAGGCAGACTACGTGGTGGAGTGTGTCGGCACGGAGTTCGACCCCGCGCTGGCCGACGCCTCCGAGCTGGAGGTGCACCCTGAGCTGGGCGGGGTGGTCGTCAACCCTGAGCTGCAGGTGGGACTGTTACATATGCCCCTCAATGATAACGCAATGCAGTCTAAGGCACGTCTTGTGAGTCCGCGCGGGTAGGCACCACCACTCTACCTATTTCTGCCGTGAAGCAGTAATGCGTTTCGGTTTGAAGGGTGGGGCAGCCGTTGTAACTATACTGAGACCTTAGAACTTATATCTCAAGGTGGGTGGCGCATTTACGTCGTAGATGTCTATGGGCTCCAGTAACCACTTAACACCAGGTGGGCTGTGAGCTCCTCCACCTATATAAGCCTAATTAAAATCTTAGCTTCAATCTAATTGAATATGAAATTTCGAAAAGGTCACATGTCGTATATTTTGTCAAATACGTTTTTTCATAGACATGTAGTTTTGAGACTTACCTACCTACACCCATTTTATAATAATTCCAGTAATTTTCAATTGCAAATTAACACTAAAATATATCTCAAAAGTTAATATTTTAAATTTTACACTGCTTTAGAAAATAATCAGTTTTTTCATTTCCTGAACATTTTACATCTTCAGAGATGTGCTCGTTTCGAAATTGCATATTCAATTAGTGTGAAATATTTGATTTATTTTTAGAAAGTAATAGAGCTCCAGTCTGAAGTGTAGGATAGTCGTTATTGTACTGGGCTGGTGTGCGCAGGCCCGGCCGCGCGTGTGGGCGGCGGGATCTGCCGCGTGCCACTGGGCGCCGCGGGAGGGGCGGCGGCGGGGCGCGCTGCACGACCACGCCGTGACGTCAGGGCGCCGCGCCGGGGACAACATGCTGGCCGACATGCTGGGCACCGCGCCCGCGCCCTACACGCACCCGCACATGTTCTGGACCGACCTCGGGCCCGACCTCGGATACGAGGCGAGTGTACAGTGTTGCGACATCTATGAGTACCCGTAGTCACTTAGTGCCAAGTGATTTTAGATCTTATATCTATATATATAAAAATGAATTGCTGTTCGTTAGTCTCGCTAAAACTCGAGAACGGCTGGACCGATTTGGTTAATTTTGGTCTTGAATTATTCGTGGAAGTCCAGAGAAGGTTTAAAGATAGATAAATGAATGAAAATGCCCGGAATAAAAATAAAAATAACAACTTTGTTTTTCCTTTTATTTATCGATTGAGGCACTACGAAGTGCACCGGGTCAGCTAGTAAATAAATAAAATTACTTAAGTAAGCTTGTCTTGAAAGTTGGTTAGCTCTAATCAGATGTAAGTCGCCCCGGTCCCACTGACCGCACAGGGGCGCGGGGGGCGGGGGTGCCACGTACCACACGTCATAAGCAATTACATTTTATAGATGGATGTTTTATGAAATATGTTTAAATATTCAGGCCATCGGCACCATCGACTCAAAACTAAAGACCGTCGGAGTGTTCTCTGAGGACGCCGTCACGGAGCTCCGTGCCCACGCCGCCGCCGCCGGGGAGGGGGACGTGGGGGGGCCGGGGGAGGGCGCGGCCGGGGCGGCGGTGAGGCTAGAGGGGGGCGCGGCGGGGGGCCGGCGGTACGAGCGCGGCGTGGTGTTCTACCTGGAGGGCCGGCGCGTGGTGGGCGTGCTGCTATGGAACCTCTTCAACCGGATGCACGTGGCCAGGCAGGTGAGTCCCAAGGGATCCGACATCGCGCACTGCTGGAGACGGTTTGCTATTGCTTAGGTGGGTGAGTGAGCTCACGACCCACCGTTAAGTGGTTACTGGAGTCCATAGGCATCTACAAATTGCCACCTTGAGACACGACTTCTAAGGTCAGTTTTAACATTACAACGGCTGCCTCATCCTTCAAACCGAAACGCATTACTGCTTCAAGACAGAAATAGGCAGGGTGGTGTTACCTACCTGTACGGACTCACAAGACTTCCTACCACCAGTAATTTCGCAAATTATAATTTTGCGTAGTATCTTATCTTTACCTTGTGGTGTGCTCGCGAGGCTGCAACTACTAGCTAATCCACTGCCCCCCAACCCCCCGCCCCCAGGTGCTGGCGCAGGCGGAGTTCGAGGACCTGTTCGAGGTGGCCAAGCTGTTCGCGCTCCACGAGGACGAATAGGCGCTGCATTTAGTTCTTGTTGTATATATTTATGTTAAAATAGATTAATAAAGATATGATGAAGTTTCGATTAATTTATTTTATTTTACTAGTGGAGTGGGACGTGCGAGCGCCGCCGTCTTGTCTATTGTATAAATAGGTAAACGAGCTTACGGCTCGTCTGGTGCTAGGCGGTCACACTGTAGAGGCCACAACGTAGCGACCCACTTTGACACATGACGTATTGTCACTTGTCAAAATGCCGAATCACTGCTTTGTCACCACCTTATCTCACTAGGTAGGATTCGCACAGCATTTTTTCTATTCCATTCTCTTCTACCAGCCGTCACCTCAACTCTCTCATAATATCGTCATTCACACACTCCATCCATGTCTTCTTCGGTCGATCTCTTCCCCCTCTACCTTGCACTACCATTTCCATACATCTCCTAGTCACATGCATTTTCTCTCTACGCATCGCATGTCCATACCAGACTAACCGTCCGCTCTTTAATTTATCAATCACTTCAGCTACTTTCACACTTCCTCTGATATATATAAAATGCCGAATTACAACAAAATAAATATATTTATTAAAAATGTTGGTATCTATATTTCGTCAGTGGTCATCGGACGTTTTCAAGTCGTTGATCGATCACTAGACGCGACAGTTAGCCAATTATTATTGTTCTTGTCCAATTCAAATACCGTTTCTCACTTATCTTTAAAAGCATTCAGTAGATTGGGAGGAATCGGGACGCTTTTCAATACCAACACAAATTTTCAGCGATTTTTCTTGGGGTAATACTAATAAAACTGATATTAAAATGGTTCCGGAGGTTTACGATGCATTATTATACATAGTTCGTTAAAAAATATACACAAAAACATAAAAAAACTAGCTTGACTTGATCCACCTTGGCTTTTGGGGTGAATCGGGTCACGTATGGGGACAATAGAGTTTTTCGATAGAGGTGGCACTTTAGGTAATTAACTTTTCAATATCTTTAATCAGTTACAAAACTCTGATGACTAAATTAAAGTATTTAATATTCATAAACACAAAACTCCTTTTCAATGCAACAAATTTAAATCTCACAAAAGCATTGTGACAATCCAGATTTGTCCCTACTCTACTCCTAGTCCCTATTCCCCAAATCTACGTTAATTGGCTCGTCATAATAAATCTCCGATTTCGAAGCTATTTCCATAAATTCCTTTTATATTCCATTAATATTAGATAAATGACATCAATAAATACCTGCATTGGAAAGTGAACACTGCAGACCCAGGTTTCGGGGGGAACCCGAACGGAACGGGGAAAAACCCGATCCATTAACGGTGCTTTTAGGTACCACAAACACCGGTCACCGTCCTCGTCGAACCCGTCGCTTGCGACAAATGGCTCGACGAGCGAATTAACCCGTAGACACAGCCCACTGAGTTTCTCGCCGGATCTTCTCAGTGGGTCGCGATTCCGATCCGGTGGTAGATTCTGCGAAGCACTCCTCTTGCTAGGGCCAGTGTTAGCAACACTTTGGTTTGAGCCCCGTGAGCTCACCTACACACGTTAGGGTGAAGCTGGAATAGCCTCTCAAAGCAATTAACATAGGTAGGAAAAAAAAGGGTGAGAAACAAACAAAACGAATCAAATTTAAATAACTGTATTTCCTTAATACGTACATAATTACTCATAATAACTCGGCCGCTCGTCCTTAATGCCTAAGCCGTCCCTACGTTTACATTACATTACGCATAAACTAATTATACGATGTGGTTTATAAAACATTTATCAAATACGTTTGTTTGCATACTGGCTTACCAAGTTTTAGAATCGGTGCATTTAAAACTATTACAGATCAACAAAGCGTCTAAAGTTTGTTTGCGACAGTTCCCTTGGCGTTTCGTGATCTGTGGCGCGTTGCTATGGTTACCGAAACAAATAATGTACACAGATAATACAAACAGTATGCAGACTATATATAGTCAATATGTAGACAAAAGATTCAGATACAGATGTTTAGAGAACTGCCGTAAAATCCGTGCCGATTTATCGCACGGGGAGTTGTGAATTAAAATAAAACAAAAAAATTAAATTAAATACACTTATTTCATCAATAAATTTACATCCAAAAGTACCCCATGGCACGTTAGCGTCGAAAATACATTTCTCAAAAATAATTGTCGGTGTTGCCATAAAGCCTTAACATTCTTAATGTTGCTAGTTGTGCATTTGTATCGAAATGCTTCTCTAAATTAACAGTGAAGATTTTTCATTCGCCTGTCACAGATGATAATAATCAACATTCGACTTTTTAGATTACAAAAATAATAATTCTTAAAACATAATTGTGATTTTAGGTCAGTTTTAATTGTGTGTAAAAGTACATCTTTATTCAATTACACCCACAGACACAGTCCACTGAGTTTCTCGCCAGATCTTCTCAGTGGGTCGCGTTTCCGATCCGGTGCTAGATTCTACGAAGCACTGCTCTTGCTAGGGTCAGTGTTAGCAACACTCTGGTTTGAGCCCCGAGAGCTCACTTACACGCTAGGGTATCGCTGATATAGCCTCTCAAGACTATCAGCATAGGTAGGAAAGAAAATTGATTAAAAATATTATTTACATACGAATGTGTTTTTGTGATGCAGTACCGCGCGCTACACATGCTTCGACAACTTAAATAAGTACAACATTACAACGGAATGAATTGGTTTCACTACGTAGACTTAACTCGGGTGTAAGGGTCTCTAGAGCCCATAGACATCAGAAGGTGAGCGCCGCCGCCCGCCTTGAGGCATGAGGTCGAACACTCGTGTCTCATCCTTCGAACCGTGCGAGTATATATTTATTTGGTAGCCGAGCGCGAACCGTCGATAAATCGACTCTCAATTAAAGCGTGCGGAGCGTCGGAATACCGACTATTACGCAGTTCGATTATAGATATTAAGTATCGACCTGTACGGATGTGTCTTAGCGCGCGCACGTACAACACTTTTAATAAGATAATAACATTTATAAATAGCCATATTCTTTCAAGTTTTTTCAAAAATCCATTCAGCAATTTTAGCAAAATATGTGTAACTTATTTTCAGTACTAATATAAAACTAAAAAATAAATAAATACTCGCATAAGCTCAAACAAAACCGAGTGTAAATGTGACGACTAGTGTCGTGTCGCGGTCCGTTGTCACATCGCTACACTGCAGTGTACGGTCGCAATGGCCGCCACTGTATCCGACTTCAACTACATCCCATAAACGAAACACAAACGTAGTCGAACATAAACAAACAGACATACATTATTATACATCAGATACAGAATTAGGTTATAAAAATGCACTTACTTTTCTTTAAAAAAAACAACATTATTAAATAACGATACAGTAATACAATGTTGTGCTGTCGACGGTACACACACAAACAAACATACTGAATTAAAACGAACTAATATTAATGTCATGTATTGCACGTAATTAGTCTAGACCAGTGGTGGGCAAACATTTTTAATGGCGGGCTACAAAGTCTAAGAAATTCTAGAGGAGGGCCCGAATTATAGTAAAAAATGCATTTTGTATTAAAGCTTTTTAATAAACAAAATACCTTTTATTTTTACGCCTTTTTAGGCGTGTGAGACGTGAGGCGTGTGATAGATAGGTCAAAAGAATGGTATTTTTCCCAATAAATAAATTAATACCTGTGACAGACTGCCGAGATACTTATAATGATGGCAAAATAATTATGAGATAATGAAAGCTCAAAACACCCCTGACGAATTGCAGCTTTCATTAAAAATTCCAAGATTTTCAATTATAAACGTCAGATTTTATTTTACACGCCAAAATGCCGACTAGAATATTTAGGATGGATGGACTCTCGGCGGGCCGGATTAAATACTTCCGGGCCGCACTTTACCCATCACTGGTCTAGACTAGGCCATTAATGTACGATTAAGTACTTTAAGATACAACAACTCTCTTACTAATGAACTATCAGAGTCACGTTCGTCATTACTCCTTCTAATATATTTATAATAATAATAAATAATACTTTTGGAGTCACACCAAAGCACCTTCACCACTCGCATCAAGCTATTAGATTTACCCAAAAATATATTTTTTACCATGCAAAGAGCCACAATTTTAAATACGTGCCAAATTGTTCCGAAGTTTTTTGCAGGACGAAACATCAGACGAAATTAAAACTGATAATGAACTCCACTTGGCCTAGGCCCGTAGACCCGTGGTTTTCAGTACTTACCGAAATTCATAAAAATTCGAAAATAAAAAAAATCGGTTGTCTGTAAAGTCGGTTTACTGACGATAGTTGAACGTGACAACGTCATTAGAAAATACTGATGGAATGGTTTCATTTTTCAATTATCGCAATTATCGTTGCTATAAACAATTGACTCCACATTCACTTAACTTCATATTTGACGAAAACATGTAAATGTATTATTGTATAGCAGCTGTCCGCGCGGATGCATCGCTCCCTCAAGTAGGAGAGAGATAGATGTCGAACGCTGCCGAACGCGGAGGCCGATTGTGCCTCTTTGTCGCTCGTTGCGCGCTCTCGCTTGCACTTTAAGCCTTAAATGGAACGCCGCATGAGTCATGTTTCTTCGTGCGTGCAGCCGGCTCCATCGAATTATAAGACGTTGTCACGTCAAAAACTTTATACATAATAAATAATGCTAAGTACGCGAATTAAAGCAAAAAATTTTAACAATTGGAATCTAAGTAAACAAAGTTTGTCGAAATGTGAGTGGAGTCAAAGTATCAAAGATCGGTGGGACGACCACAGCAAGGTGGTAAGGTGTTTGACTTTCAGTGTCATCCAAGGATAAAAATGAAGATGAGCAGCGTATCAATTTAAATATAATATCATTTAATAGCATTATCGTATTTTAAAACGAAATTCATCTATAATTAAACAATACGTAATCTTTTTAGCGACGAACGGAACTGAGATAATACGTAATATAATTTATCTTCATAATTAACTATTCGAAGCTAAACTATACAAAAAAATTATAATTAATTAACTTAAACAATCGTTGTTAAAGCAAACAATGGCAAGATCCGGTTACTTACATTATAACTAAAATAATTGTAACAATAATAATAGACGAGTGATTTTCGTTTAAAATTTTTAAGAAATAATCTCTTGAAATATTGCGTGAAAGTCTGTGCGCGTGGAGTGATTGTACTCTGGCAGCACTCAACAATCACAGAGTCTGTGCCGTAGACACGTTATTCATTTACTAAAGAAACCGAAATACGGATTTGGCTTAAAGGACTTTGTTTCCAAGACAGTAAAATATATTAAAAATAAAAAATTACATGTATTACCTACTTATCGACGAGTGAGAGGCTATTTTGTTTAGGCGACATTTTTGCAACTTTACAGGAGAGCCATTTAAAGTATAAAATATGGAAAAAAAAAACAAAAAACAAAACAGCTATTTAATTGAGGAAACTTAATTGAAGTTATAACGAATTAAAAAAGCTATCCCAGTTTAAGGTGTATAGTTTTAATGATGTCCATGTAAGGTTTAGTTCGATGGTACTATATCGACTGTAGGACTGACTCCTTTCTCGAGGTTTCGTGCGTGTGAAGCTGCCCCTCCGCTCGCATGCATGCCCCTCCGAGACCCACGAGGAGAACAAATAGGGATGTACGCGTTATAAAGTTCAATTAAAAACATCGAACTGTCGATGCTAATACCAAATAAAACGCACCTATATTTACAACTAGCGACCCGCCCTCGCTTCGCTTCGGAAACTGCAATTTATTATTGATTTCTCCACTATTTAATGGATGTTATTATACATATAAACATTCCTCTTCAATCACTCTATCTATTAAAAAAATCGGTTGTCTGTAAAGTCGGTTTACTGATAGTTGAACGTGACAACGTCATAAGAAAATACTGATGAAATGTTTTGTCAATTATAGCATAACCTACAATCGCTGTACTAGCGGACCGGTGCTATTTATTTTAATGATGAAGGCACGAATATTCGACAATATATCACTGAACATATATTTAATATCGAAAGAATCATTACCTTTATCGCCGCAATTATCGTTGCTATAAACAATTGACGAGCGTTACCATGTTTAGTTAGTCATGTTTTTTCATGCGCGCAGCCGGCTCCATCGAATTATAAGACGTTGTCACGTCAAACAACCGCATCAAAATCCGTTGCGTAGTTTTAAAGATTTAAGCATACACAGGGATATAGGGACAGAGAAAGCGACTTTGTTTTATACTATGTAGTGAAGATAAATGTCGCGTATTAAGCGAAATGTCGCTTAAACCAAATAGCCTTTCACCCCCTCGTTATGATGATTATCTTGAGTATTTACTTGAAGTGTCTATCGCGACATGGTCACACAATATCATAAAGTCAAAATTTTAAAATAATTGTCATTTAAAATTAGAGTATCTTCAGTTTTGCATGATCACGTCATTTCGGATCCTCCGGATCCACTAACGGTGCTTTTAGGTACCTCAAGCACCGGTCATCGTTCTCGTCGAACCCGTCGCTTGCGACGAAGGGCTCGACGAGTAAATTAACCCACAAACACAGCTCACTGAGTTTCTCGCCAGATCTTCTCAGTGGGTCGCGTTTCCGATCCGGTGGTAGAAGCACGACTCTCGCTAGGGCTAGTGTTAGCAACACTCCCGGTTTGAGCCCCGTGAGCTCATCTACTAGCTCGGTGAATCTAGAATAACCCCTCGAGGTTACTAGGATAGGTAGGAAAAAATGCATAATTTTTTTTAATGCCCTTGTAGGCATACGAGCATACGGCCCACCTGATGGTGAGTGGTTACCATCGCCCATGGACTCCAGCAATGTCAGGGGCAGAGCCAAGCCACCGCCTACCGTAGTTACGACGGTCAACAGTGACTTTTGCCGCACAATCGCGCTAATTCGCTCGCGTTACAATCTGATGTTTTTATGTCAAAATAATTTTGTTTGAGCACCGACTCGAATACAAAATCGACTGGTGGTAGGATCTCTTGTGAGTCCGCGCGAGTGGGTATCACCACCCTGCCTATTTCTGCCGTGAAGCAGTAATGCGTTTCAGTTTGGAGGGTAGTTCTAAAACTTATATCTCAAAGTGGGTGTGTCTCGCATTTACGTTGTAGATGTCTATGGGCTCCGGTAACCACTTAACACCAGGTGGGCTGTGAGTTCGTCCATCCATGCAATAGAAAAAAAAAACAAAAATCGAAAAATAATAAACAATAATAAATATATAACTATGAACAAATAACGCGCGGTCATCCGGCCCCAAATTAGGACTCCCTAGTTTATGGGTACCAGAGTCTGACATACGTACTTATATACGTTTAAATATTCAAATATACAGAATAATATAGATAATAGTTTGCCTGACGCGGGAATCGAACCTGCGACCCTGGGCGCAACAGTCAGGGCCGCTAACTACAGCACCACCGAGTCAGTCAAAAATAAACTAAGATTTTCGTCTTAATCGACATTTATAAAAGCATCGTCTGTCGCATATTGTGTTCTATCGTCTATGGACGCGCGCATTACCAACGAACAAACACCGAGCCGTCTATCAATTCAATCTATTTAAAACCAAACATTCAAAATCGGCAGGTTTTTTTTATAAATTTTTTACATTTTATTTTGTACCAACGTGTAAAATTATATGTTTAGTGTTGTTTCCCGGTGATCCGCGCGTATATATTGTAAAGACTAAAATTATCGACTACCCTACATAGGTACTGTAATTATTAAATATACTAGTGTGTCCCTAAAAAAGAAAAAATAATATATATATATTAAAAAAAAAGTATTTTTGTTTGTACAATGTATATGAAACTACAACATGTGATTACTTATGTCTAATATCTTATTTTGTCAATCAGCAAAATTTGTTGATCGCATTCTTCGGATGCGAGTCGTTTTTGTTGACGGTACTCGGCTCGTGTCCGTGACGTCACCGCGACACCAGCTCCGAAAATATACAAATAGTTTCCGCAACCGGACATCGACCCCCCCCCCTTCCCCCACCGGGGGACCAGGGGGTCACGTCGGGGGGCGGGCTGTTGTCTCGCATCATCGTGCAAGTTCTTGATATGAGTAAATAAACAAAGCTATTCTGTCCTCAACACATAGCGCCGCATTGAGATTCCTAAGGAGTGCGCGTGTCTACATGATCTGCTAAAACGTGTAAAAAAGGGGGCTAATGTCAATAGTCAAATTACAAAACTAAATATTATCATTGTTAACAACAGACTAAGTCGTTCACATAGTACACACAGTTGTGAGTTCAGGTAAATGTGGAGAACGCGAATGGGTCTAGAACCAATTGAAGACTGCAGGGTCGTCGCCGGTATCCTTTGGAACCGATAACTATTGTTCCTCGAGCGGTTACCCGATGAGCCTGGGAGCGTGGAGTCCCCGCAGCGGGGGCGCCAGCGGGGGCCGGTGGGGGGCAGAGGCCCACTCGGACAGCCTGCCCCCCGCGGCCAGGCGGTGCGTCAGCCGGTGCGCTATGGAGAAGCCGCCGCTGCCTTCCAGCTGCGTGAGCACTATGATCACTTGTCTGTGGATCGAAATCAACAGGTTCGTCAGTCCCCTCTTGGTCCATATGATCATTGTTGAGGTTTTTTTTATTGCTTAGATGGGTGGACGAGCTCACAACCCGCCTGATGTTAAGTGCCACCCACCTTGAGATATAAGGTCTCAGTATAGTTACATCAGCTGCCCCACCCTTTAAGCCGAAACCCATTACTGCTTCACGGCAGAAATAGTCAGAGTGGTGGTACTCACTTGTGCGGACTCACAAGAGGTCCTACCACCAGTAAATAAGTAACAGTCATTCCCCGCTGCGGCGGGTCACCTGTGCAGCGGCGGCACCGAGTCGATGGTCTTGAGCTCCCCGCGCGTGGACACCACGTTGTAGCTCTCCTGGCAGTCGCACTTCACGTGGATCCACTTGTCCGCGTGCCTGTTCTCCACCATCACCACCAGCCCGGCCCAGCCCTGAGGATATTCAAAATGACCTTTAAAGTAGTTCTTCTTCATCATCAAGCCACCGGCAGACGCAAGGTACCTTGGTGAGATAGTACGCGGTCATGCCCTGGCGGCCCTCGTGGCGCTGCCCGCGCGCCAGCGTGAGGCCGATGATGGCGTCGGCGAGCAGGTGGGGCGGAGGCCGGGGGCGCCGCAGCCGCAGCGGCTTGGAGGCGTGCGCGGCGAGCACGTGGCGCGGCCAGTCGGCGCCGCCCGCCGCCTCCAGCCCCGTGTGCCAGTGGTTGAAGGCGAGGCACACCACCAGGTACCAGCCCTTCTCCAGCATCTTGTGGCATCCCACGAAGCCACGCACCTTACACCGGGAATTTTTTTTTTTTAAATGAGGAGCATCGCAGCAACCGAGGAGGGATGGAACGAGGTCACAAGCTTGCTGAGTAAATAATGTTTCCCGAACAAGTACAGTACGATAAACACCTCACGCCCGGCATGTATTTATAGAACAAAAAACTACTAAAAAGAAAATATATTCTGTGGATATTTAAAAAAGACCAGCTGTATGAGCTCCCCGGCGGCGCTGATGGTCTACCTGCCGCTTGCTGTGCGCGACCAGCTTCCCGACCTGCGCGGTGGGGCCCGACCTGGTGCGGAACACCACCACGCACAGGTCCAGCTGAGACCGCTGGCTTTTTGCAGAGTTCCTTAAAAAAATAAATTATATTACCAACCTGCAAATAATTTCGCTAAATCTACTTAACTAAAGCGACTTCTCTGTGCCGTTAGCATTGCTGAGTCCACGGTGACTAACCGCTGACCATCAGGAGGATCATGTGCTTGCTTGTCGGTAGTGATAACAACAAAAAAGTCGAATCTTCGCCTGTTTACGAATGACTTATTTTTTATTAAAAATAAATGGGCTATAATTTTTGAAAAATATATCATGGGCGACATGGCAGACACCAGCTGGTGCCCTGGCTGACTTTGTACTGTCTTAAAAATACAGTAATCCTCCCTGTAATACGGTAGATTGGTTCCCCGTTATAGGAAACGCGTTGTAGGACTATGCTCACTTAACGCGCTTTTCGACCTCATATAACGCGTTATACACAAACAATACAATATAACCAATATTTTTACAATTCAAAAACTAGGAACGCAGATTTTATTTAATTTTACAACAACACAATTGACACAATGTGCAAAGAGGTACGCGAAATTAATTATAAACTATACCAATCATTACAAAATTTCACAGTATAGAAATATAATGTGTGAAATCCCCGCGTTATATGGGGGAATACCCGTGTTATGCGAGGGAATGAAATCGCGTTATATGAAAATGCGTTCTAAAAGTACCGTGTTATAAGGGGGACTACTGTGACAAACAAATCCTGTAGGGCGGAGTAGAGCGCAGCGCCACCTGTGTAATTTTGCAAATGACCCAGCTCGGTTGACGAACCCAATGCGGGATGCTTTTTTTCTTTTTCTTTGATGGGCGGACGAACTCACAGCCCACCTGGTTTTAAGTGGTTACCGGAGCCCATGGACATCTACAACGTAAATGCGTCACACGGTCTCAAGTATAGTTACAACGGCTGCCCCGCCCTTCAAACCGAAACGCATTATTGCTTCACGGCAGAAATAGGCAGAGCGGTGGTACCTACCCGCGCGGACTCACAAGAGGTCCTACCACCAGTAATTACACAAATTATAAATTTGTAATTTGCCCTTATGGCTCATATATCGAGAGTTTATTACAATTTACAGATCAACAAAGTACGAGCCGGCGAGGCGCACCTCTGGCCTTCCTGGAACAGCGTGAGGTCGAGCTCGGTGGGCTGATCCGCGGTCAGCAGCAGGCACGTGAGGTGGCGCGTGGAGGACATGGGGGGCAGGATCCCGGCCAGGCGGACCTCGTGCCACCCGGAGCGGACCTTGCAGATGTCGATGCAGTCGAAGTATCTGAAACCGAATACAGGTGGTAGGACCTCTTGTGAGTCCGCGCGGGCAGGTACAACCACCCTGCCTATTTCTGCCGTGAAGCAGTAATGTGTTTCGGTCTGAAGGGTAGGGCAGCCGTTGTAACTATACTAAGATCTTAGAACTTATATCTCAAGGTGGGTGGCGCATTTACGTTGTAGATGTCTATGGGCTCCAGTAACCACTTAACACCAGGTGGGCTGTGAGCTCGTCCACCCGTGTAAGCAATAAAAAAAAAGGTTGAGTCATCCGAATCGGCGCGGCCCCGCGGACCGGTCCACTACTGGACCGTGGAGAAATAGATTAAATGGTTCGCCATTATAAGCAGGTGAACGACCTGTCTTCCACTAAGTACTCTCCGCAAGCCAAGAATGGACATGTCATAGCGTTTATTAGTAACTCTGATCATTTTCAGTACATTAACGTCAATTATTGTCAAAAGTTGGTTTTTAAGCATGAAGACTTAAAATTATTAGAGACTAGCTGTACCCGTCCGCTTCGCTGGGCATTTAAAATGAATATTATTATTTTTCACCCCTACAAACGTTCTCATCATTAACGCCCCCGCAACTGGTGTAGGGAGTCCAACGCTCATATAAATGCCTATAAACGCCTATCCATTAAGTACATGTATTTTCTACATGGATACCATGTTTCAAGTTGACTTGAACCATGCATCCGATCAATCAGTAGTTATAACGGAACATCCGTAAAAACCACTGTAGATTTATATCTTAATTACATAAGCGATACTAATGTACTAATGTACTAACGACCCACCCTCGCTTCGCTTCGGAAGCATTAAATTTTATTATTGATAACTGAGTCCCGTGGGACCTCATATAACGCGAGTCCTATTACAACGCGGGACCTCATACTACGCGAGACCTGATCCAACGCGAGACCTCATACAACGCGGGACCTCATACAACACGCCACTTCATACTACGCGAGACCTCATACAACGCGGGACTTCATACAACACGAGACCTCATACAACGCGGGACCTCATACAACGCGATACTTTCTTTTTGTACTTAATATATCGCATTGTTTATTTTTTGGTGTACAATATAGAATACTCTCTCTCTAAGCATCCCTAATTGAGTATAGCAGTATGTAATAAACACGATCCGGTACTTGAGCACGTCGTCGAAGCTGATCCAGAAGACGCCGTGGTCTCGGTCGTGGTGCGGGGGCGGCGCGGGGTGCGGGGGCGGCGGCGGCGGGGGGCAGGCGCCGCGCCACGTGTAGTGCCCCCAGGGGTTGCGCAGCCGCAGCAGCCGGGCCCCGCCGGCCTCCACCACGTCCAGCACGGAGTACGCGTGCCGGGGGCGAAGCCCTAGCCGCTGGTACTCTTCCTCGTCCACCTGGAAGCGGTACATTCAATTTAAAATTTTGTACTGGTGGTAGGACATCTTGTGAGCCCGTGCGGGTAGGTACCACCGCCCTGCCGTGAAGCAGTAGTGCGTTTCGGTTTGAAGGGTGGGGCAGCCGTTGTAACTATACTGAAATCTTAGAACTTATATCTCAAGGTGGGTGGCGCATTTACGTTGTGGATGTCTATGGGTTCCAGTAACCACTTAACACCAGGTGGGCTGTGAGCTCGTCCACTCATCTAAGCAATAAAAAAAAGTTTTCGTTACTGGTCTTTTGAATTTGATGGCAAAGTAAAATAGATTTTAAATTAAGCAGAGTAAAGTTTACTATTGTTTGGACTCTTGTTAAGAATTTTACAATACACATTAAAGTTTCAAAAGGGACCAAGTAGTGATGCATGTCCGCCGGCTGGAGGGCGGTACCTTCATGTTGCCGCCGCCGCAGCTGGCGCCCATGAGGAAGCAGGCCTGGCGCGAGGACAGCAGCTGCGCCCACACCAGGTCCCGGTCCAGCTGCTCGAGGGGCGCGGCGCCGGCCTGCAGCGACACGGACTCGCACGCCGCGCCCGTCAGCGTGCACAGACCTGCGGGCCGCCAGCTCAACATTCATGTATCCCGCACAACCACACCCTCCTCGTCGAACCCGTCGCTTGCGACGAAGGGCTCGGCGAGTAAGTCAACCCATAGACACAGCCTGAGTTTGTCGCCAGATCTTCTCAGTGGGTCGCGTTTCCGATCCGGTGGTATATTCTGCGAGGCACTAATCTAAGCTAAGGCTAGTGTTAGCAACACTCCGGTTTGAGCCCCGCGAGCGACTTTTTGGCGGGAACGCGAGGAGTGAAGTTGTGTAGTTTGTTTTATTTTGTCTATTTAGTGATTAACTGTTTAATATCTGTGAAAGTGCACAAATGTGGGAAAATGAAACAAAGGCGCTGGACGTAACTTCTCGGGATCCTCCAAAAAGTCCACTGAAAAAATTTCAGTAAATGACCACCATTTGTATGGTATTTCATCCCATATCATCTCATTTCATCTAATTTCATCCCAGTTGATTAATGTCTCAAATTAATCATCTTCATTTCATTTCATTTCACTCCACACATTTGCGGTAGGCAGCGGCTTGGTTCTGCCCCTGGCATTGCTGAAGTCCATGGGCAACGGTAACCACTCACCATCAGGTGGGCCGTATGCTCGTCTGCCTACAAGGGCAATAAAAAAAAATAAAAAAAAAAAGAACCATATTATCATTTCTCATAAAAATAAGAATATAAATTAAAAATAAGACATGACTTAAAGGTCTTAGTAAGCAGGTCATAAAATCACTTAAAAAAAAGCCCCTACTAGCTCGGTAATCTAGTATAAACCCTCGAGGTTACTAAAATAGGTAGGAAAAAAAAACCGGTGCAACTGATGTTATAATTATAGAAGTATCAATAAATGTAAAAACAAAAGAAAAATATTTTATTACAAAAAATTAGAAGTTAGTCCTGGGATGACAAAGGCTCCAAGTTATTTCACCGGTTTCAAACTAAATCCGTAGAGACATTCATGAAGACCGGTACAGAGTTTTGGACATAATATTAGTACAGGTTAACTTCGGCTTATTTTCTCAAGAGAGCCTCCGCATTGCTTCCACCGAATGTCAGCGGCAGGAGTTCAGCGCTCACCTTCGATGGCCCTCCCGGAGACCAGCGCCTCGTAGCACCCGTGCAGCTTGGCCACCGCCTTCTCTATCAGCGGCACCCACAGCTGTTTCCTTTTCGCCTGCAAACCATTCTACATGTAGGATCTTGGTTTCTGGTGAAATGCGATCAGATAGGGATCAGCTACTGACGCCGCTGGGGTCCATGAGCCATCAACGGCAATAAAGGATCTATATTTAACATTGAGACTGTCGCAATAATCTTGTCTGATTCGTGTCCTACCCAGCTAACTTTGAACTGTGCGTAACAGCCGGGATGTCTGTCTGTGCGCCCCCGGTCAACTGCCTCGTGGTGAATATCCTGCAGTACCTGCTAGCCACAGTCGACCATCCACCTAACTGTGTCCCAGATTGAATATCCCTCGACAGTCAATTCGGGACTGTATTCACCGCGCACCAATCTTGTGTCACCTTCGAGAAACCTTGATCACGACGGTCTCTGCGTGTCTCCTTAGCACGAGGAGTACCGGGACTGTAGGTCTGCCGACCCTGACTGCGGATAATATCACCCAAGATTTGTATTCTTCGAGGTCTGGTCTGTAGGCACGAGACGGAAGGTACCTGCGAATAGACGAGGTGTCCCTTTTTGTTGGCCGGCAACAAGTCGTCCAGGGTGAGGGTCCTCCAGCGGCCGTCCTTGCAGAGCCGCAGCTGGTAGGCGCCGATGCTGGGCTCCGCGCGCAGCAGCACCCCCCGGACCAGCGACGACCTCTCCGCCAGCACCGCCAGGGCCGACAGCAGCCAGCAGTTTCCCAGCACGCCTGGGGATCATGGTCATATTTCTCTTTAAGAAATTTTAAGTGCTGTGGTTTCCGGTTACCGAGTAATGAGGTTTATGTACGATTGCATGCAGAAAATAAAGTTTTCATAGACCTTACGTATGTATACTTACATTTTAAATTTATACGTAACTGGGCTCTTCTTTGTCTCCACCTTATCCTACTAGGCGGGGTCGCCACAGTTAATTTTTCTCTTCCATTCTCTTCTATCAGCCGTCATCTCAACACTCACTCTCTCTCTCTCTCATATCGTCATTCAGACTCCATCCATGTCTTCTTCGGTCGACCTCTTCCCCCTCTACCTTGCCCTGCCGTTTCCATACATCTATAGTAGAATTATTTTGTCCGTGCAGTTTGGGTTATAAAACATAGCCCGGCTAGGGCGGTGAGAATGTTGCGCGGGCGCAACGCCATTATCAATAAAAACAAATGAGTCATCGAAGGCATGTATGTGGTGGGTAGCCATCATACAACGCAAGATATTTGACAGATGCCTGAATCTCGCTTACGACATTTTCAAGATAAGCTTGCATATATACAAGTTCCGAACAACAACATTCGGACCGTCGGTCTACCGAGCAATATCACCCGCTCCGTGGAAGATCTTCCCTTTGTCGTATATCTCCCCAAATATACACGGCGGCGGGGTGGTATACGAACGGGTGGTGAGACATTGTTATGTTATGAGTCATTTGTACTTACCTGCAAATTATAGTACATTATGTCGAAGAGTAATGTGTTTTTATGCATTCGTTCTCTGAATTTCTTTAGTGACACAATGGCTACTCCTTTGTTTTGTATCAAAACGGCAGAATTTATTCAAAATAATATTTGCACGTCTTGTTATCAACAATGTGTTAAAAAATTTCACTGAAATAAGAATAAATCCCGAAAAGTTACAGAGCGTTAATTTCTGCCGTTCTCGTTAACTTGCTGCCACGATACGTGGTGTAAGTGTTCGATTAGTGATTCTTTCTTTCATTTTTATTACTAACCCACAAAATGACAAAACTAAATACACTATCGATAACGCTTATCGACAACAATAATGCGCATCACTATGCCCGTCCATAAGGCTCGTGAGTGGGAGAGAGAGCGAAATACTCGCTTCACCGTTCCGATTTTTTATGACCTAAACTGCACGGACAAAATAATTCTACTATAGTCACATGCATCTTCTCTCTACGCATCACATATCCATACCACGTATTAAAAATTATTTTAATCGTACCCATGCGTTACGAACAGTTTTAAGAATATTTGGCACCTTGCGAGATGTCGGAGGGGCGCGGGTCCCGGAACACCGCCCAGGGCAGGCGGGGGTCGGCGTCCACGTGTAGCTGCCGGGGCCGCAGCCACCTGGTGCCGCTCCCGCAGGACCCCGCGTAGTAAAGCGAGCGCGGGCTCGCGGGGAACATGGGGTCCACGTACGGCTCCCCCGTCTGAATCATTGTAATGAGGATGAACATGAAACGAATGTAGTAACGTTGGCTTCGCAGACAGATATCAGTAATTAAATTTATATTTTTAGCCTTTATCAAGAGCTATTTACATTTTTTTCAACCGATCACATTAAACTCACCGCGGCGCACTGCGCGAGCACGTCCTGCCACTGCGCCCACGCGTCCCCGTCGTCCTGCAGCAGCTCCACCTCCCCTCCCTCGCCGCCCTGCCACGCACCCTCCGCGCCCTCAGCTATTAAACAAATTAACATCATTCTCATTGCCTTGACTGAAGCCGCACAACACCAGAGTACAGTTCCATGCTCTATCCAATCAGCTCTCCGGGCTCACCACACTCGGTAACCGAGCCAACATATAAACTCCATAGAATAAATCTCCCACTGTATATGACCCTACATACAGCGTGTTGGAGGGCGACTCACGCGAGAGCGGGTCCTCGGGGGGCGCGCGGTCGGGGGGTGGCAGGCGGGGGCTGGTGCACATGTCGCAGCACGCGGCCGCGCTCGCGTTCATGTACGTGCACTCCGTACACGACCACTCCGAGCACTCCGCCCTGGGGACCACAACGAGCGTGAGCACTGGGACCAGACGGACAACCCACCTCATCGTGGCTGGGGACTGTCGATGGAGGGCAACTGCAACGGGTTTAAATGAAATCTAATCCACGGTCTACCTCAGGGCTCAATGAGTACTGGTTAGGAGCGAATCAACATTGGTTTTGTTTAAAATACACATAACAAATTCCAACAAGCTCGATTACTACTTCTAGTTCTAATGAGATATACCGGGATAAAGGGATATACTGTAAGAAAGAAAAAAGTTTATGTATTACAGTGAACATATCTTACTTGGGCTCCGGTGGTGGCGTTTTGTGCCTTGACCCCCGCCTGGGCAGCGCCGGCGTGGGCTTGTTCCGTCGCGGAGATGGACTTCGACCAACTGGAGATGACGAAAAGCGGGAAATGATGAAGAGGTCCGCGGGCGAGAAGGCGGGTATTTACTGGTCGTGTCTTGTGAGCCCCCAGCGACACTACCACTCTACATGTTTCTCCCGCAAAGCAGTCTTGTGCTCTACTTTGGAGAGTGGGACAGCCGTGATACAATAAAGTGGGGATTTCGGACCTCGTAATTCAAGGTGGGTGGTGGCTATAACGTTATGGAATCTGTGGGCTCCCGTCATCACTTAATTTATTTTTGGGAGTATGTCAGGCTCACCAGGTCGGGGGTAAATGACATCAGGAAGATTTTCCACCGCGCGGCTGGTACGGCTCGGTGGAGCGAAGATCCTAATGTTGTCGTTCAGAACTCGTATATAAGAAAAGTTATTCTGAATAATATGATTGAACTTGAAACTATACACTTGACACCATGCCGGTCAAAAAAATGGTACAATCTATTTTAAAATTTATTTTTGTAAAAATGATATTTTGATTATATGATGCGATGATAATGATTTTTTTTTATTGTCTTGATGTGTGGACGAGCTCACAGCCCACCTGGTTATAAGTGGTTACTTGAGTTCATAGACATCTACAACGTAAATGCGCCACCCACCTTGAAATATAAGTTCTAAGGTCTCAGTTTAGTTACAACGGCTGCCCCACCCTTCAAACCGAAACGCATTACTGCTTCACGACTGAAATAGGCAGGGTGGTGGTAACTACCCGTGCGGACTCACAAGAGGTCCTACCACCAGTAAATTGATATTTTAGATAATGGTAATTTTTTTTAAAAGAACAATCGCATTGAATCTCACCGGGCCCGTGGACATCAGCCGAGGTCGTTGCGTGCCTGGGTACGGGCGGCGTCTTGCAGGCAAGGCACAGCGCGGCGGACGCCGGGTTGCGGAGGGTGCACGAGCTGCAAGACCTGGACGTGGATTGTTGTACGCATTCATTATTTATTCAGCTTTATGCACAAAAGTACATTTGCGGACTTATGCCTGAAGCATTATCTACCAGTCAACCAAGGCTGGAGTAGAGTTCTATAGTAGGTGCATTCCTTTTTGAGAAATGAGGCTAAGCTTACCATAGTAATAATGGAGCAATGAGGTTTAAGTTTTCATGAATTTGAATTTGAGTAGGGAAAAAAACAATGGGCCATCACCGACTTTTTGTTGAGACCAATGTATTATTATGTTTTTTACTTTTTTTTCTTCTTAGCAGACGCTGGTACCTATTTATCATTTACGGGCCTTAGCCAACAAGTAAATAACGTCGGCTTATTGCAAGAAGTCATTATGTGACATATTCAATATTTTGGGAAAACGGCATTTTAGTTGGAATTAGTTAGTGGTTATGTTGATTAGCCCATATTATCCTTCATACATAATTACTGTGAGAAAAATTGAATGTTTTGGATTGCTTAATATGTATATTAATTAAAACAAGTGAGAGTCGGTAGTTATATAACATTATATATTATTTATAAACTAAAACTAAAAGTTAATGACTTCTTGCTACTGTAAGTCGGTTTTATATGTGAATTAATTATTTCTTAAATTAAAATAAAACAACAAAATACTTATCAAACCTTATTGAAATAAACAAAAACGAATAATAACATAATAATCAAAAAAAAATTTTTCATAACAGTTGACGTAAGAACTTGCAATAGCTAATATTGCCAAGTACTCACGACAACTTCGCAGTCTCAAAAGTTTTTCATAATATTATTTTATTTTATTGCTCAGATGGGTGTACGAGTTCACAGCCCACCTGGTGTTAAGTGGTCACTGGAGCCCATAGACATCTACAACGTAAATGCGCCACCCACCTTGAGATATAAGTTCTAAGGTATCAGTATGGTCACAACGGCTGCCCCACCCTTGAAGCCGAAACGTATTACTGCTTCTCGGCCGAAATAGGCGGGGTTGTGGTACCCACCCGTACGGACTCACTAGAGGTGTTACCACCAGTAATTACGCAAATTATAATTATGCGAGTTTGATTTTTATTACACGATATTATTCCTTCACCGTGGAAGTAGATCGTAAACATATTTTGTTAAGTACGTATTTCATCAGAAAAATTGGTACCCGCCTGCTGGATTCGAAC